AAAAAAAAAAAACGATATGTCACATCCTGGGATAAAAAATAGTTGGCAGATAGGATTGTTTTAAGATTATTGTAATTCCATTTTTTTTAGTAAATAATTTCTTAATTAGAAATTATATTTCCATGATAAAATGGTTTGTAATTATTTTCTGATAGCTTCTGTACTTATTTTGCCTTAAACTCTAATCTGAATTTTTTTTTCAATGATTGCCTTTAATTAAGTTGCATTAAAGTACTCAGGAAATTTTGTGGGAGTTTAATTGTAATTATGGAATCAATTAAATTAAAAATCGCATTTGTTTTTTTTTAGCGCATTTTTAAAGCGCGCTAATTATCAAAACTTGCAAAGAGCCGTGGTCAAGTTGTTATAACAAAGAACTATATGCGTGGTCATATAAGGCTTGCAATCGCACGCCTCGTACAAGAAAGCCTAATATATATATAAAAGATGAACAATGAACAATTTAAAGAAAGATATATAAAAGAAATTAAAGTATAACTAAAGTAAAACAATAGAAACAATAAAATAAAATTCAATCCATGTAATTAACCAAGTAATGTAAGTAACCTAGTAAACGCAATTATGTTGTGCTATTGTGGTTTATCTTCCTCCGGGTAATTGGTATATAGAGGTGAATTGCCATAAAGAGGCAATTATATGAAATTCACCTCTTGAAAAAGCTTCAAACAAAATATAGAAACGATATATAAATGCTATATAGTTATAACTAAGTAATATATTTGCTTAATAAGTATTAGAACATAAGAAAAGTTAACATTTTATATACATTTTTGTTTGTGGGTTTAATAAAATTCTTGAAATAATATACTTATTGAAAAAAAAAAAAAAAAAAAAAGTCACATTACATTACTTTTTAAAGGGTAGCCAGTTAACACTAATGTAACGTTAAAAAAATCCATATTTAAAACATATTTTAACTACGTCTCAAATCTAGATTATTTTGTTACAGTAAGTCTCCATTGGTTACACTTGAAAAAGTTAAAGAAAAACAACAATTGAGACATAACTTTGCAAATTAAAACTTTTTTTTTGTGACAAAGTAAACAATTGAGATGAAGCTTTTTTACAGTACAATTAAAATAATAGATGCTGATTAGCAATACAGCAATGATAAACAAACATCTTCTGCCTTATCAAGTTTATTTACTTAATATTCAATTAAAAATCAGAGAATGTAACCTTTTTACCAATTGTAACTGATTGAGATGTTGCGTAACTTTAAAATATTATAGGCAAATGTCCATGCAGAAATATAAATAAACTGAAAATAGTAGGTAATAAAAAGAAAAGAAAGAGTATGCGCTTTTCATCAATTTTTATATAAAGCAGTAAATTAGATTATATAATAATTCAAAATAATTATCAATGAAACATGTAATAAAATATTAAACGATAAAGAATTGTGTTTTATTGATTATAACACTAAATAACACATGACCAAATGTTATATAATTATGAACCCTAAAGTGTTGTACCCTCATAGTTGTCCGGTGGAACAAGACAAATTGTTTTCTCCAAAGGCGACTGAAATTAAAAAAAGAATGCCTGTCAGTAGCCCAGCAGGACAACCAGACAGTTTGAAAAAGAATTGACACAGAACAGATATCGACTACGATCAAAACAAAAATGACAAACTTTAAAAGTTGTATTTATAGTTATCTCTTTACCAATATCTCTTTGTAAATAAAATTACTTAACTTTATTTTTTAATTGGTTTTTAACATAACTTTTCACTTTATTTTATTAATTTATATACTTTTAATTAAACTGTTACTTATTAGACATATTTTAGTCATCAGATGATATATTATAATGTGAGACTATGAGACTAAATATTATATATGTTATATAACATGAGACTAAATATTATATAGTATAAGACCAAATTTTTTCAATAATAGTACATCTGATAATATTAATTAATTTATATTAACGCTAATTTAATACTATTAGTCAAATTACGTCATTTTCTAGACTTTTTTATTTTAAAGTAGTTTCTAGGCTTTTCTAAACGCGTTTTTTTTTTTAATTTTATTTACTAACAACGCCTATTACGGGTTGCTTACTGCTAGTTATAATAAACTTTACAATAGCATTGGGTGCTAATCAAAAAATTGTGTACATTTTGTTCAAATAAAAAATTATGCAAATTGTTTACAATTAATAATAAAATTAGTAAAAATTTTATTAAGTTTTATTCATAAAACTATTCATAAAAAAAATCATAAAATTTTTATTCATAAATTTTATTCATAACACTTTATTTATAAATCATAAATTCATTACAAATTTATAATTCATAAATTAGAAATTTATAAAACAGTCAAGGCAAATATTTAATCAGCCTTGATTCAATCTTTTTTAAAAATTTTGAGTTAACACTTTTGGGGCAGGCGAGGTTTCTTAGCCCATAGAGGTAGAAAGAGAAGGAGAAAGAAAATAGATAAAAAAGTTTAATTGTGAAAAATAAAAACTTCTAAACCTTTATACTTTCCTAGTGTTGTAACAATAAAAGTACTTAGTTCTGATCTACAAAAACAGGTAAATGCTAAAAAAGACATTTAGTTGTAAAAAGTTACTATATTTAAAGGCATTATGTTTACAAAAGTCTGTTTTAACTACACAAGTGTGTTTTAACCACACCAGTGTTTTTTAACCACACAAGCGTGTTTTAACCACACAAGTGTGTTGATATTTTATTTATATGTTAAATTATAAATTGTTTTACAATGCCTTTGTACTTTATACAATAAATAAAATTTAATGTAAACTTAATGTGTTTAATTTAATCTTTTTCTGTAAATAAACTTGGACTTTTTTTTAAATAACTTTTTTCCATTTTTTTTTTTATTGAAAAACATGTTACAGTTAAGCACAGTAAGTGCTTAAAACAAAAACTTAGTAAATCAAGTTTGAAAAAGTTTTATTTGATTTTTAATGTTATTTTAAATAATTTTTCATGTTTAAATAATATTAAATTTATTCTTATTGTATTATATACTAATGTATCAATTGATATATAATGATAACTATATCATTAAACAATATAAGAAAATATAAAGATAAATAATTTATAAATTTTTACTATAAAAATACTTAAAAGTTATTTAAAAGAAATTTAACTTTCAAAAACTTTTCAAAATTCAAAAGAATTAAAGCTTCGAAATAATAAAATAATAAAAAATTATAAAAGCTTCAAACAAAAAAAATTTCTTAAAAAAGTATAAAATTTTTATAATGAAATCCATCTTTTAAAAGTGACAACATGAATTAAAGAGTTGCAGTTTGAAAAATATTGATTGCAAACTTGTAACTTTTAGTTAATTTTTTATTAACATTATTATGTTTACTTTCAGGTGCTTAATACAAGGGGGGGGGGGGGTTGTTAATTTTTAAAGAATTTTTTTTCTGATTTCTTTACTTTTACTTTTGGAGAATCCTCTGCTTATTAAAACTTGTAAACAAGTAACAACTTACACTTATTTTAGTTTACACAAACACTTCTATAATACTACTATAAAAATAAAAACATTCAATGAAATACCTTTGAAATTAAAAAGTTAAAACTCACTGAAAAAAATAAAATACAAGCATAAGTTATAGATTGCTGAAAACTCCTAAAGGGTGAATTTTAATGAAAACTTTCAATTGTAGAAGTATCTTTTTCTAAAAAAGAAAATCAAGGGATGATAGCAAATTCTAAAGTTGATGTTTATAAACTTTAAATAGCTTTTTCCAAAAAAGCAAATATGCTAAAGCATTGTTTTCTTTTTCAGAAAAAAAGCAAGGTTATGTTGCAAAAACTGTGAGTTGTTTTATTTAGACCTTAAAGGTATTAAGCCTGATGATCACACCTTAACAAATGCCCTTAAACTTCAAAAGATATAGCTAAATAAAGTTGAAGCAAAGTAAGATGCTGATTTATAGCCCCCCCCCCCTGCACCCCCTCTTGACCTAAACAATAGACATCAGTGTTTTAAAATAGTATAATACAAAACATAATGTAATGGTAAAAAAACATAAATGAAACTAATAAAATGTAAATATAGTTTGTTTTTGTTTTTCATAAATATGGTTCAAAATAATAACTATCATTTTTGTGTCAAATTGAGTTTCTAAGGAGGATATTAGAAGGCCAATTCTGCTAACAAAGATTTTCTATTCTAGAAAAGATTTATTTGAGTGACATCACTAGAACTTTTGAATCACATTTACCCAGGATGATATTTAAATCACAATGCAGATTTTTTTAAGGTTTTGCTGCCCCTTAAAAACTTTACTCTTTGAATTCACCATTCATTTATAGTCCTGTATTAGCTACAGCCAGCCTTGTTTATTAACAATAGTTTTTCCTTTAGGCATAAAGTATTATTGCTTAATATTTTTTTTAATAAGTGATAGAAATGGATAGTTTACATATTGTTGTAATTCTTATTAATAATGTAATAATAAAATAATAATAATAAAATAATTAAAATAAAATAAAATAATAATAATAATAATAATAATAATAAAAAAATTAATAATCTTCTTTCTTTACTTTTTTTTAATTTTAAAATTCATGTGAAAAAAGCTAAAGAAAGGTATAAAAGTAGTTAGAAAAACTTCTCATATTTTTTCATCTTAAATCTTTCTCAATTCTGTAATTTTGAAAAAGGTGTTTTGAGAAACAAGGTTATTTTATGAAGAAAAAGGTTGAGCACAATACTACTGCTCTGAGATGCTGAAGTGTTGTTGACTGTTTATTTTGCATCAAAATTCATTAACACTTTTTTAATCCCCTTAAATTTTATTTCAATTTTTTTACTACCAAAATTAAAGTTCTTTTATATTCATTCTACTTTTGAAAGTGTGTTTAGAATTATTTTGCTAAATAAACTGGTAAGCACATTTTACACCATAGAGTAAAGCAATTAGTTAATTTATATTCTTAAATTAATAAAAAGTATAATGTATTTATTTCTTTTTTTCTATTATAGATAAAACAAGTTAATGATAGAATTGATCAACTCAATATTCAAATTCAAAACGTTCAGAATGAATCCGATGCTATTAAAAATGCAATCCTGCTAGATGCTCAGAACATTCATTCTGTAAACGTTCAAGAAGCAAATACTACTCAATCAAAACTTCAAGAAGATATTTCTCAGATTAAGCTGCAACTTCAATCCAACCTCAAAGCTCACAGAGAGAGTGAGTTATTTTTAAGAAAGGTATTTATTGTTTTTTTTATATTTGTATATATTTATATTTGTATATAATTCACCTACAAATTAATGGCTCCAAAAGCGGCCACTACAGTCAAGAAAGTTAGTTATTTTTAAAAATTGTTTTTTAATTTTATCTGAAACTCTCTTTCAACCCTAAATTCCAAAATTAAACCTTTTTTAAACAAGGTTGCTGCAAGGTTGCTTCACAGAGAAATTGGTTAAGATTAATTGATTAATAAAAAAGTTTTTTTTTTAAACAAGGTTACTGCAAGGTTGCTTCGCAGAGAAATAAGTTAAGAATAATTGATTAATAAAAAAGTTTTTTTTTAAACACGTTAGCTGCAAGATTGCTGTGCAGAGAAATTGATTAAGATTAATTGATTGATAAAAAAGTTTTTTTTTCCATCAAAGATATAAAATTATTTTAATGAAAACAAGTTGCATATAAGTTACAACCTGTTTGCATTTCATAAAATATTTATTTTTCTAGTGAATTTAAATTTTAATAATCACGAAAATAAAAATAATAGAAATAGTCTTTATCTATTCAATGTTTAATTTTATTTTTACTTTATAATGGTTACAGATATAGTAAAGTATTGAATTTTCAATTTGTTGATTTGTATTTAAAGAAATTAGGATGTTTTACTTGGTATTTAGACTTATTTTTAACTTTTTGCTTTAAAACTGTTTTATAACAATTATTAGTGATGCCAAAGAATAATGATTCTTTTAATAAAAAAACATTATTAACTTATTTTACAGTATATTATTTATTATTATGCAAAGATCTTTGTAACATTCTTAATTTAAGATAAACAGTTAAAATGTAAATAAAGAATTTTTGAATAATAAGAATAAATTGAAAAAATAATTTATAAAAAATATTGAAAAATCTTAACAAGAGAACAACTGACGTCAATTAAAAATTTAAACAAAAAAAAGTTTTTAAATTTTGAATGAATGATCTCGCTTGTTAAGAACGCTTTTTTACACTTAAAAAAAACAATCAACTTAATTCTTTTTTTTTTAATCGTGCGTACCAATTGCGTTTTTTACATGTCTAGCGCGACACTTTAAATCTAGGACTGATTTAATTTTTTTTTTTCTTTTCTATGATCTTATGAACCTTAGGGATTTTTAAAACAATTGATAATACCACGTTAGTGATCATCCATAAAATATGTACGTTCAGAGAGGAAGAGGGAGACTGCAAATGGCAATTTTGTGATGAGGTGGGGGGGGGGGGGTGGTGGTGGTCAGTAATTCAATTATAAAAGTATGGAGACACTAAATTAAAAATAAAATATCATAAAATGTTAGGTTGGTAAGTGAAAATCATTGGTACTTTTACGGAGGTAGATGGTACTCAAAAAAGTGTATGATAAAATGTGGGGAAGGGGGCGGGGTTGGCAAAGAAAAAGCATATGTGCTAAATGGACGATCCCTTATACACGGGTACCATCAGGTTGGCTAACACACTGATATATTTATATATATATATACAGTGGTGTACACTGGACTTTTAGATGTTTGAGTTTTGACACTTACAGGTATTGTGCAAACTCCAAAATTTTGTATGTTCATGCTTATGTCAAATGAGAATGTTTTGCAAAGAGTTGTGGTGATTGGAGCTTGGGGACAAAAAAGCCCCAATTTTTGGGTCCACCCAGCCCTTAACGTGAAAGCAACAAGTTGATAAAATAATTTTTTTAGTATTTTTATCTTAGTTTATATTCATCAACAAATTTCAAATTTCATCCAATAATTTCTTAATTTTCGAAAATTATGACCATATAAAGTTTTAACCCCCCTCAATTTAAGGGGGCTGTAAACTTTGTAGGGTCATAAAAACTAAAAACTAAGAGGTTATTGCATGAAATTTGAAATTCGTTGATGAATATAAACTTAGATAAAAATACTAAAGAAATTATTTTGTCAAGTTGTCGCTCCCATGTTAAGGACTGGGTGGGCCCAAAAATTGGGGTTTTTTTTGTCCCCAAGCTCCAATCACCACAACTTTTTGCAAAACATTCTCATTTGACATAAGTATGAACATACGAAAGTTTGGAGTTTTTAAAATACGTGTAAGTGTCAAAACTCAAACATCTAAAAATCCAGGGTACACCACTATATATATATATATACATATATATATATATATATATATATATATATACTCATATAGTGTCGCTTTAAGAGCATTTTAATGTAAAAAAAGTCTCTTACGACTACAATTTTAATTACCTCGTCTCTTAAGCTGTTTTTG